GTGTCTTCATCCCCACGAACAAATACACACGAGGTCCGGCGCGCCTTTCATCAGCGAAACGGGAGTCCCTCAGTGATCGGGTCCGTTGGACGGTTAGTGACGATTCTCGTGACGGATAAAAACCCACTTTCATCGGGTACTTAGTCCGCTAGCTTTTAACAGTTTCCTGTCATTCCTCATTGGCCAGCAAAATGGGTGTTTGTCAGTGAGGGGCTGACGGATCTTCTGGCACTATTGACGGTATTCCCACACTTGCTAATTTCATAACAAATTTGCAGCCCAGTCGAACTGCGGAAATGGGCGGTTGCAGCGCAATTGTTTCAAAAGAAAAAATAGCATGTTCAATACAGTGTGCACCATGAAGACCGCATTGAACGATTCGATACAAATACGCATATCGTTGCACCCCTACCACCTCCATAACCGTCCATCCATTCATGACTGCTCAAACGACATATATACCCAACCGTTAGCCATTCATCCATTGATCCTTCCATCCATCCATCCATTTGTCCATCTATCCATCCATCTGTCTTCATCATGGTTGATTTTAAGATTGTGTGTAAAGTCACGCTCTGACTGTATTCTCATTCATTTGAGCAAAAAGGAGTTCACCGCTGTAAAAGTCAAACCAAATGCAAATGTCTTTCATTTTAGAACATAACATTAATCTTATTTCCCTTTCTCCTACCCTTTTTTCTTCCCCCAGAATTGCCTTCAGTGATTTGAATTTTATGTGTGAATATTTAAATAAATGGCACTTCCCACTAGCTATTTTACTTCACAAAATCTTTGCAGTGCTGCATTTTGCATTCTCTTGCTTTATCTTCATTCTGCTTAGTCCTCAAGTCTCTTGTCTGTTGAAGGTTTTTCGACGTTTTTGCTCTCTTCTCAGCTCAGCAGCACAACTCCTCATTCGGATGTTTGCAGCTGAGTCCGTCCCTCTGTGTCCAGCTCTTTGAACTCCCTTCCTGTTCACGGGTTCAGGTCCATAACCTCGGACAGCAGACTCATTTTTAATTACCAACACAGTCTCCCCTCCACCTCCTACCATGGGCGATCATCCCTAACATCCACTGGTGGTATGCCATGTGTCGCGTGCGTCAGCACACCGGTGTTGCGGGACCAAACACTTGTGAAGATTGACCTTTAATTGTAAAGACTGTAGCATCAATGTTTCAAAATACGTAACATTAAGCGATGCTAATCACAGTTAGCCAACTAATAGTAGCTGACGTTAATGTTTATAGGCCTGTTCACGCTCAACTGCAGTAAACACCACTATTTCAAATAATGTGCAATTTATTCGTATTTAACTTGACTCAAAGTCTGTGAAAATGTTCTTTGTAATTAGCCAATGCTAATAGGTAGCAGTTAGCTAACACTTAAGCGTGATGGACCGCAATATCAAGTGTCACAAGGTGATCACACAACTCGTTTCCAAGGCTTGCAGTTCCTCCAGACAAAAATTGACCTCATACTCAACATTTGCAAAATGAGCTTTTTTTCTTTTTCCATTCAGCAGTTACAGCCTGGAGCCAGTGAGGCGGCCATTGCGTTCCGGATGGTGGCCTATTTGCGCTCATTGCCAGACCGGAAAGGTGGTGGTGGCTGTAAGACTGCTGCAGGCTGTAGCTGACAGCGATGTTGAACTATGATGGACAATCTGTTCTGTTCTGCATTTTTGTTCACTCGTGCTGTTTATATTAGAGTGTAGTCGTTTACACCTGTAGTTCATCAGTTACTTGTTAGCATAGCTGCGTAGCTGTGGCGCTCGATCCATCCTGGTATGATTCCTTTGAGAATAAAAATGTTTGGTTTTTTTGTATGTTTGATCATTGAGAGAGAATGCCATGTCAGAAAATAAGGGAGTTAATTTTGAACACAACTAAGCGTAGATGATGCCACCCAGATTACAATTACACCACTGTAGACAATACACTTTGTAGAATCGCTATTTTAAAGGTGATGTGCAGGAAACCACGCAGGAATGCAAAACATCTCGTACACCGTCAAGTATTTCAAACAGAATTAGCTTCATTTAGGTCGTGTCCATCTCGTAGGACCTTCATCAGTTTTTCATCCTGATGACGATCCTGTGAGACATTCATTCACATAAATAAAGACCCTTCTGTTTGCATTACAAGACGGTGCAGGATCTTCCCATCCATTTATTTATTGTTTTGTGACATGCAAGTAATGTCAAAATAACATCAATAAAATAATTGTTTGACATATAGCGAATTAATGTCAAATTAATTAATATAATTTTGATTTATAATTTTGACCAAATTATGATCACCATTTGATCAGCGTTTGATGTCATATTGTTGACATCCAACGTCTGCTGGGTTAGGCTAACGATATGTGACTTTCTCCCTTCACCCGTTTATATAGATCTACTCTTCCTTTGTATTGTTGTTATCTCAAGACTTTCTCCATTCTGACAGCATTTGTTTTCCTCTCCCGAGTGGGGGAACACTGATCTCTGCTCCATGCACCTGTCGTGATTGCCTATTGTCCGTGTGCCTTCATTGCCCCAAACCACATCTGAATATCCCGTCCACACCACTGCGACTTCTGGCAAATTAACTTTGACCGAGGGCGTGCCGGTGGCTCAAAGATAATCACACCAAGGGCAAATAGTCTGACCTCATCTCATTTTTATTTATTTACTTACTTATTTGTGCATCAGCAAGTTGGCCGACAGGCTAAACAGGTGCTTAGTTGTAACTGCTGCTGCTGCTGCTGTCTTTTGTGTGAATGTGAATGTCAATCTTGGTTTCAAATCAGGATCCCAATTAAAAATCTTTACAGGTGTAATTAAGTGTCCTCTGAATAGAAGCTCAAAAGTGTTTGAATACCGTCTGTCGCGACTAGCTCAACAGATGCCAGGACGAAAGGCCGTGTTTGATGCCCCTGAAAATAATTTGATCAACGGGGTAGGTCGTGGGGGCTTACAGATGAGTGTTTTTCGAAGTTAGTCCTCCCTCTATCACAAATGGATGCCCATTCTGCAAGTGCATTCATCTATTAATGAACGCTGACATACATGACTCCAACACATTTTCAGCAATTTGTCTGAGGCCAATCGCCTCAGACAAATTTGGCTCCTAGGAAGCATAGAAATAAACAATGTTGCCTTGAAAAAAACAGTACATAATAAAAAGTCTCAAAACATTGACCCCAAAAAAAATGAGCTCTTTTGAATGAGTCTCCTTTAAACAGGCATTTAAAATGTTAAATATCCCAAACAAAACATTCAGCAAAATATTCGGATATACTCTACAGCAGGGGTGCCTATTACGTCGATCCTGATCGACCGATAGATCTAAGACAGGTCCCAAGTCGATCCGAGGAGTGCAGAGGAGAAAAAAATAACAAACAACCATTTGTGTGTCATTGTACATGTTTGTAATATATTTTTTGTGTTAATGTACTTTGCACCCTAATCATCCTATCAGTCCCATTTTCACAAAAAAATATTTAAAAAATAAAATAAAGCAGGTAAATCTTGTACCTACGGTGGCGCGTGATTACGTCACCGGAAGTTGTTAGCGCTCAGCAGTCTGCAATTGCAGCTTGTGATCAGAGCTGTTGCGCTATATCTTTTATCGTCATTATTCTCATTCAGAGTTTGCTTCGTGTACAATTCACCGATGGTACGGGCAAAGAATAGGAATCTAGGACGGCCCAGGGAAGCACTTTAAAACGGTACGTGTGAGCTACGATAGTTAACAGGCTGCAAAAGTGCATGCATACCTCCGTGTCAGGCTGTTTCTCATCATGGTGTGCGTGCGTGCGTGTGTGCGCATGCGCGCGCGGTAAGGGGCGATCCCGGAAGGTTGGTTGATCGAAAAGTAGATCTTTGGTCCAAAATGTTTGGGCACCCCTGCTCTACAGCAGTGGTCCCCAACCGCCGGTCCGCGGACGCCACAATAGCACTGTTGCTATTTCCGACATCCTACCTGTGTGAGGCGGGGGGTTTCTGCAGCAACGGCGACGAAAACAAAATTACGAAGTAGACTGGACATAAACCACACACTTGAGGTGTCATTGTCTCCTATTACCCCGAGATGGGACCGTCTGGTTGCAGAAAATCAAGCTCGGTGCTGTGGTGAGTCGTCATTTTCATGCACTTTAACGAATTTGCGTTGTATCGTATTTTGAAGGCATTAAACATTGCCATAGCGATCGGAGTGTTGCGGCCAGATTAGACGCTCCTTGTGTTTATTATTATATTTCGAAAACACCACAGTTTTCATGCAGGTCATACCATATTATTTTGTTGTATTATTTCCGCCACACCTTAAAAGCCGGTCCCTGAAAATATTGTCTGACATAAACCGGTCCGTGGGGCAAAAAAGGTTGGGGGCCCCTGCTCTACAGTATCAATTTTACGCTCTTTTTTGTTTCAGTCATATTAGCTTTAATGGGACTGTTGTCATTTTGGAGCAGCTGCTGTGCCACAGGTTATTGTCTCCACGGGGAAATAGGTTTTAGTGCACATATACCATTTTATTGACGGTTTATGAAATAACTGAGAATATTTACTTATCATCATGGAAATAATTTATCCAACGTTTCCACATACTCCATGCAATGTGCTCGCATACCTTTAGGGGTACACGTACCCAACCAGTGTTTCCCTGGTCTAAAAAATACATTTGGATATGCCACTCCACAAAATAATGCTGTGATACATTGAATTAGCTGTTGTGATCTTCGATTCCACCGTCAAAATGAGGTTAGTTTTTCAAATCTTTAAATGACCTCGCGCCACCTTATCTCTCTGAGCTCATCTGCCCCTACACACCTGCCCGGCGCCTCAGGTCTGCGGACCAGACATTATTAGAAGTACCAAGAACCAAATGGAGGCTAGGAGAGGATCGTGCCTTTTCCGTTGCTGGTCCCTCTCTCTGGAATGACCTCCCACTGAACATTCGGCAAGCCCCCTCGCTCCCCATCTTTAAAACCCGCCTCAAAACTCACTTGTATTCTTTGGCATTTGACTCAGCATGACTCAGACTTGATCTTAGTTTTACTGTTTGGTGCTTTCTACCGTCCTGGTTCCTGATTTATTGCTTTATTGTTGTATATATGATAGTTGCTCCATGTACAGCAGTTTGTATGCAGCGACGGCTGTTTGAAAGTGCTCTATAAATACAGTTGAGTTGAGTTGAGTAGTTTAACTGACAACATAATGTTTCACATAAGCAGGCTAAAGAGATGATCATGTTAATGACCTGAAGGCAACTGGGACCTCCTCACCAAGAAAAGAGTTGATAACGCATTTCGCTCTAATGAATTCTGATCCGCCTTCAGTTATCCACAAGGTTGGGGGGGGGGGGTACTGCGGTCAGATGAAAGCAAAGTTTAGCTTTTTGGCATCAACTCAATCTGCTGTGTTTGGAGGATGGGAAAAAAAAATCTGAAAATGGTCCAAAGAACACAATTTCCATTGATAAATTAGTGTAATTATTACTGTTGTATGCAGCGGCATAAAGCTGCACTGCATCACACAAAGAGCCTCCCTATGTACCGGTAGTTTACGGTCAACAAACCATTAGAAACAGTTTTAATTATGATAGAGTGAAGTTGGACACTACTGCAAACTTTCGAGGCGAGACATATTCTGGAAAATTTACTTTTTAATTGCTTGTATATAAATAGTTAGGTCTCTGGAGTTCCTGGTCACCCTTCAAGTGTGAAATTAAACAACCAAGGAATTCTTTTGTGAGCCGCCTTTTTCTGAAAATGTGTTATGAGAAAGCCATTCTGCATTTTGCGGCCTGTGACAGACAGGCTAATTTACATAATGCCCACCCCGCCACTTCAAGTTGCTCCTCCCATGACTTGGGCGCTAGCCTGGGTCAAGATCTGCCATTTTCAAGTGTTGGCCAAAGTCAGTTGCAACGGTTGTCGATAAGGATATGGGGATTATTTGTGTTTGACGACATGTATGCTGCATTCACCGCAGCAGAGCCAGTACACTAGTTGAGGTATAATTGATGTCAGGTTGGTAATGAAGTTTTGCCTCTATATAGGATGAATTCTGCTTTTATTTTGTCCTTCTCAGCTATAGCTAACATTGATGTCACAGCCTTGTTAGTCTTAAGCCTCTTTGGCACACATAAGTGACTTGAGCTTGACCAATATATTGCTGTGACCTTTGTACTTGCTATGGCCTCGTGTCTTCCTGTCAGTTTGCACCCGTTGGCACACATGCCAGTTGAAACAAGTTAACTCAAACATCCCGAAAAAATCCAACACATTAATAGGTTAAGCCACGCTCCTGTGTGGGCATGACCAAGACAATATAAGGATCTTCTTCACCTGTGTTGGCTGGAAGACTCCACGGGCCCACGTTTCTTGGCATCATTAAAGGGGAAGTCAACTCAAAAATGTTCTTTACAATGATATGTTCTACGTGCGCTATGAGTCGAAACACAGCATCCTGATTCAAAGCCCGCTGTGATGTCATTTTCAGTCGACAGCATGTTTCCATACAAGGCAAAAATGGCCGCCCCCTGACATGGATAAAAATGGGTGGATTTTTCTGCTTAATTCATGTACCACAAACGCAGTATTAACCAGAAATATGTTTATAATACTGGCGGCAGATAGAACATTTTGAACAAGACTTCCCCTTTAATTAGTCAAACTAGGAAAATACAGTCTTCTGGTAGTTAAAGTTAGACCAAGCATTTTAGACAAAAGAAACAGCCGAAGCCCACTTGGAAATTTTCAGTGTGATAGCCCTTTCAGGAACACATATTTAAACTTATGATACTGTATAACAATACTCAAATGCATATATTCTTTATCCTCTGCAAAGAACGACAAATATCCCTGCGGCTTACTGAGGCGCTGTGACTGTCCACATGTATGTTAATAGCGTGTTCACGGAAAAAAATTTAACTTGAACCTCAAGCCACCACTGTGGGTGAAATCCCGAATAGTGGACCACAAATATGTGGGTGATCACTGAACAGAACAATAATGGAGGATGCCCAGTGGTTGTGGTCACATTGGACATGCTTTCTTTGCGAACACGCCACTTGCAATGGACCTAATTAGATTGCGCAGGCGTATCTAATGTCTTTTCACAAAGGTGGGGGGAAGTATACCCACTTGTCCTTTATAAGGGGTGCAGGGTCAGTGGAGTAACTAGCGCTCAAGGATATCATGCCAAGCGGGGCCGGACTGAGTTCCTCCGCATGGGGGTTGACCTGGATTTAAACGAGTTGTGATGTTTGGATGTTTGAGGCAAGCTTGTACTCAGAAATTACTCCAAGGCCCTCACAAGACTCTTAATACCAAAAGGGGAGCGAGGGGGTTCACGAAGGTTCTGCAGCTCAACCTTCCTTTGCTCCACAACGCCAGATTAAAGTAGAAGCATCTGCTTGTTGACAGACAAATGGCTCCTCAATGGTGCAATTGCATTGAACATTTCCTCTGCGTGTGTTTGTGGTACAACGTGTGAACTCCTCAGGTGTGCATGCATAATACATGAGGGCTCACTGAGCAAGCTTCTGTGTGTTCAACAATGAAAGCATTGCACCGTTATGTGGGAGATGAACTCTTCAGTCAGGTTATTTTTTCCCCCCCCATCCAAACACTGCTGCTTGGTCAGCATCTCAGTGTGATATGATAACAGAGGTGCTCAGGCAGTAGAATACATACGCTACATGGCATCAAAGCCAACATGAAACCCGGTTACAAAGGTTGAGATTGACAGTTTGCAAAAATCAAACAGCCGTAATTGTTGTTTCTGCAAAAGATACCGCCAATAGTCATTTGGATACAAAGGAGTTGTTTGAACTCACCAAAATAACGTGAAAGTAGGAAAGATTTGTATAAAAGTTATTCTTGGCCACATACGCCTAGCAACTAAAACTGCTGCGATTAGTACTACTGCTGCAATTACTTCTATTACTTCTACTACTAGTTCAACGACTACAATTTGATGACACTTACTGCTACTATTGCATCACTATATTTCTGCTATTACTATAATTGCTATTACTACTACTACTACTACCACAGTACTTCCAATACTACTACCATTACTACTACACTTTAAAAAAAACACGACTTGTATTTTTTGGGCTAAAACAACAATTTATGTGGGAAACATTTGAAAATATAAATTACTGACATTTATGGCAACAATGTTAGCGCAACAAAGCAAGCAAGTTGTATCTTGAAGTTGGGGTCCAATAAAATGGGCAACCGTTCTGTGTTCTGTTTTCTTTGGTTGTGAAATGCAGGAAAGTCAATGATCACAACAACAAAACTTCCAACATTTTGTTGAGTTGCTGAACATTAAATGTTACCAAAGTGTGTTTCCTTTTGATTTTGAGTTCACCCAACATTTTTTGTACAGTGCCACTACCGTGGCTTACTGCTATCGTTAAAACTACTTTTTCTACAACTACAAGTACTTCCACTTGTGTTATAATAATTACAGTATTCCTATTTATACTCTATACTACTACCACCATTACTCTAACTTTTACTATCACTTCTACTTTTTCGATTGAACCTGCTACTAGTTGTAGCACTTCTACTAACATTACTATCAGTACTACTACTCCTACTACAACTATATTCTTATTACAGTTATTACTATTAGTTTATGTGACGGTATATTCAATTGAAAAAATAATTCCCATCTCCACTTTAAAAGCTAACTACCTTATCTGAACTAATTTTGTTAGTTTGGTGTCAAAACCTCATATCATAGATATAACATAATCAAAATAGGATTCGTTTCCCATATTCAACTCCCGCAAAAAGACCTGCAATGCATATGTCAAATCTCTGTTCATATTGATTTATTATGAAGACTGCATATTTTAACTTCCCCTGCTGCAAAGCATTATTTTCTATATGTATTAGCACCACAATGCACTTGTAGGCAAAGAGAATGTAGGTGGTCAAAAGTGAGGTCCAAAGGTAGGATTTGTATCAGTAAATACTAACAAATGTTGCTTTTTGTGCTTCCAGTTCACGTGAAGGCAGGGACCTGCGAGGTGATTGCCGCGCACCGATGTTGCAACAAGAACAAGATCGAGGAGCGATCGCAGACTGTCAAATGCTCCTGCTTTCCGGGACAAGTGGCAGGAACGACGAGGGCGGCTCCATCTTGCGTGGATGGTAAAAAGCCGGTCTCTTTTTTCTTGCTCTGGCTAGAAAATAAGATTTGGGAAAAAAAAAACTGAAAAAAATGCTGTGCAGCCATGCAGTTTTGATTTGATTATTTGGGCCGTGGGCCATAAATAGAGATCAAATCAGTTGATTCACTCAGCATTCGCTTGTTGAAGCTCGAGCAATTCTCCGGAGGAGACAGCATCCAGACCGGGTCATTTAATATCACGTCAATTGTGGCCTCTGTTGCAACTGAATCAATCCATAACTCAAGTTTCCCCTGACAGGAGCTTCCTCTGTGTTGACACTTGTCTAGTCACTCTGGGCAGCACTTTGACAGCTTCAGAGATTCAGAGCCAGCATGGGTTGTTTTGCTTTACAACCCTTGCTGCACATTTAAAATAGTAGGATATTGTAAGAAAAAAAAACAAAAAAACAAAACAAAAAAAAAACATTGGATATTATTTATGAGCTTCACTGTGCTGAGCAAATGGATTTACTTACCAAGAAAGCGACTGAAAAAAGTTTTACATTATAAGTTCAGACAAAGAGGACAGTTCTGGGGTTTTGTTTTGTTTTTTTTGTCCCTTTTGTCAACTTGACAGGCATAGTTTTGCAGGTACCCAACTCCAGCACCCCAACCTTCCATGGGGCTCATACAACCGGTAATTATAATAATAATCCAATAATTGCCATCCATTATTGAGCAGTAATTCTGAGAAATGATTATTCATTAAATATAAATATATCTTTCTTCATCTGGCTATGGCAGCGATGTACAGTGAAAATCAGAGCAATTAAATGCGCTTCCATTTCATGGCACAAGGTCCAACAAATCTACGTATCCACCTGTTGTCTTTCATACAACACAATCAGTTCGTGGATCAGTTTTGTGTTCTTTTAAACAGGCCCATTGCATATTTTTGCCAGTGAGTAAATTACTGTAAGACAAGATTATTCAGTCGCCGTTCATAACACGTACAATGCCGTATCCTTTGGGAGTAAATTATTGACCTACTCTTACAATTTGGATGCGTTCAACTTCTTCTGATTTATTCTTGATTTACAGTGAAAATTCTCATTCATTTAAATTATTATTATTTTTTTTCATTTCTGCTTCACTTTTTTTCGACAGCATCCATTGTGGCTCAGAAGTGGTGGTGCCAGATGCATCCCTGCATGGACGGCGAAGAGTGCAAAGTGCTGCCGGACTTTAAAGGATGGAGTTGCAGTACAGGCAACAAAGTGAAGACCACCAAGGTGGGCTGTAATCATACACTTTGCAGATATTAATCAGGGCATAATAAATTACTAGCAGCGGTAGGCTATTCAATTTACAACGGAAATTGAAGATTTGTTCCATTAACTTATATTAACCCTTTCATGCACCCTGTAACCTGATAACATGAAAAGCTGTCCACTTCAGTAATCGCTGTCCCTGAAAGGGTTAATGTTTCCCCAGTAATGGATTCTCTTAATTTCATAGTGTATCACTTGGCTGCAGTGATTCCAGAATGTGTATGTGGATGTTTGATTTGTTTTTTGTCCAATCCATTATGTGTCGTCATAACAACCTAATTTGGCCAAGGTCTTCAGAATCATTGGTACTGGCCAATTGAACTTAAACTATATCACCAATTGGATTTCAAATTCACCTCAAAGGTCAGCCAGCTGGCTCATAACATTTTTCTGTCCTTTGATTGTTTTTTTTCAAAGCGAACCCAGCTCCACCACCCAGACATGTCTTTCGCCATTTACAAGCATCAACACAGTTAATAATCTGCATCTTTGGTAGCAAGAAGTATTTGATTTACATTTGATAAGCTATTAAATAAATATGGAGATGTATGTGGCATAGTTCCATGTCACATTGCAGGGTGGTGGTGCACCCCAAAAAGCAGGCAGGAGGGAGGAGCAGGTTGTACTCGAAGAATTGTATTAAAACACAGAAACTAAATCCAGAACACACAAAGTCTGGAAAACAAAACGAATCCAAAGTAGCAAACAAAACCATGGGATAAGCAAAAAACAAAGTGATAAACACAAACCAACAGAAACCGTGACAGCAACTAACATGATGGAAGCAAACAATGACCCAACCATGAATGGTCGGGCGGGAGTCCTTTTATACTCCTAATTACATAACGACCAACAGGTGTGCAGCTGCAGGGTGAGCCCTACAGTGCCACCTGTTGGTCACAAACAGAATCATGACAGTCCTATTCCATTCTTGTATAGTGTTGATGGAGGAGAGTAGTGTATAATTTTAGTTTAAAAAAAAAAAAGTGGAAATTGAGATGTATGCTAACACATCCTAACTTTCAGGTGTTTTGAGTGTTAAATGAGTCGCGGAAGCACTCGACACTCAAGAACATCCGAAACAGAAAAGCAATTATCACATATCAGGTCGCGCTCGGGGGTGCGAGGGAGACTTGAAGTGGAAGTGGGACGGAGATTGAGGACTCGGCTGGTGTTGGCCATCTGTCATGGCACCCCCTTAAACCTCTCTGCCCCCTTGCCCCGTTCCGTGTTTGACTCGTCAAACGCTGTGTCGCCGAGCCACCTTGTCCATTATTCATGTCTACAGGAGACCCGGACGAAGCGGAGTCTTTTATTTTAGCCGGGTTAATAATTCAGGCTCTCCAACACTGCCACGGGGGGAGGCAGAAACATGGGTGGAGACAAGCGAGGTGGCCCAAGAAGAAATCATCACAAGCACAATGACTCAGTGAGCGTTTTAGACACTTTATGCCATGAAAATAGAAAGCAAGAACACGATTGATTTCAAATGATTTTGTCAAGTTACTTTTCAGCTCCTTACCACTGACAATTTTTGATGGTTGTTCTAGTGACCAGAACTCTAAAATATCAACTGCTCTTCAAATGTTCAGGGTGCACTTGCAAATTTATTGGTTTTGAATGATGATCTCCAAAGATGTCTGCATGAGCCAGGGTGGATGTCCTGCTGTATACGGTCAGATTCTATTTACCATCTGGAATGTGTTCCAGACCAACCCGTAATCAATGAATATTCGCAGTACAGAGACACCATCACGTAGTTTTAGCCCTCCCACATGCTTTAAACGTAATCAAACTTCATTTAACCCTTTTAGGGACAGCGGTTACTACAGTGGACAGCTTATCATGTTATCGGTTTACAGGGTGCAAGAAAGGGTTAAACTTAGTAAAACAGTGGTTCAAGACACTTTCAAGCTCAACTTCATTGCTGGAGCACTTTAAAAAGAAACACATTTGTCACACACACACAAAAAAAAAAAAGAGCAAGAAAAACAACCCAAACAAAATAATCAATTAAAGAGGAATTTGCAAATATATCTCTTTCAAAACAAATTCATGCAGTGCCTTCTGTGTCTTAGACCCTAGTGTGATGGTCCTTTATGTTGGCCACCTGCTGTTCCGCCAGCAGCCTGTTGAGCAGCCATAAGTTGTTTGAAGTTGTGGTCAGGCTCCCAAAGAGGAGGCAGCAAAGAAGAGTTGCCTTCAGTTTGGCATTTAGCATACAGCAGGTCTGGTTTCACTCCCTTTCATTTCATATTTTTACTAGTGCTCTCAAGTGATACATTTGCCCTACTTAATCACTATGAATCATATTTTCTACATCTATTTTCTACGAAACTTGGAACAGATATTTACTTGAGTATATTTGGATTCAAAGACTGCCCTAGTAGCTTTCTCTGATCCTCTGAATACAATTCTTCTGTATAATACAGCTGTTGAATAAAGCCATCAAAAGTGACTCAGCTTGACCAGCAGCTTTGTTATATATTCTTCTCATGGAAAGAAAAACAAAAACCCTCTCGCTTACATCTTTAGTTCAGCTCACAAGAACCACACTCCTGACAATGTTCGGGAATTAACTGAATAATGTTTGGATCCCAAGAAGGCAGACGTAGATAAAATGCAAAACAAAAATGTTTATTTACAAAAAAATGCAAAACCAACAAAGTACAAACAGAAAGCGCTAGCAACAAAGAGCCAGGGAACTAGAGCATGGACAGAAGGTGCTTGCAATAGGCAAGGTAAGAGTAATTTCCGAGAATAAAGAAATCCAAACGGCAAGAGTCCAAATACACAAAGCCAAAATCAATAGCCAATAACTCAGGAGCGAGAGATCTAGAAAACAACACATGATGCACAAGAGTGAACAAACTCACTCATCCGATGAAGAATGGCAGAAACGCGAGTCCTTATATACTAGGATGATTACAGCAAAGAACAGGTGCGCAGCTGTAGGGAACACCCTCCTCTGCAGCCGGAGCTGAAAAAAGACAGACACCAGACATGACAACTCCAGCAGAGTTGATTCGGGGCCCTGTGAAGGTAACTTGACCAATGTCGTTTGCTCTGAGATGACGTACAACTAATATGATATTTGGCTTTGCCAAGTGCGCAAATTAATTTAGATGTTGCCATCTAGCATCAATCAAGTAAATCCATCCATCCATCCATTTTCTGATCCACTTATCCTCACAAGGGTCGCGTGGGGTGCTGGAGGCTATCGCAGCCGTGTTCGGGCAGTAGGCGGGGGACACCCTGAACCGGTTGCCAGCCAATCACAGGGCACACAGAGGCGAACAACCATCCACGCTCACACTCACACCTAGGGACAATTGAGAGTGTTCAATCAGCCTGCCATGCATGTTTTTGGAATGTGGGAGGAAACCGGAGTACCCGGAGAAAACCCACGCAGGCCCGAGGAGAACATGCAAACTCCACACTGGGAGGCCGGAGCTGGAATTGAACCCGGTACCTCTGCACTGTGAGGTCGCTGTGCTCACCACTGGACCAGCGGGCCGCCCTCAAGTAAATCCATTCATCCATTATCCAAACTGCTTATCCTGACTTGGGTCAAACAAGGATTAGCTTGACTTACTTTTTTTCCAAGTCCATCCCCATCGGGTACGCCCTCCACCACCTATCAAAAAATGAGGCACTGTCAACTCCCACACTCAGACAGAGGGTCGGCCTCATCACTGTAAATCCGATGCTCTGTATTTTTCAAAGTCCTTCCAACCATTCATCCATCCATTTTCCGCGCCATCCTCACACGCTGATTTTTTTTTTTGCAGTCCAACTTTGACGTTTGGCAAATTTGAAAGTTGAGCTCAGGGGCTTGTTGCAAGCATAGCAGCGGCAGATCCCAAATTGAAGCACTTTGACGCCAAACTGCATCTTCGGATGGATAGTAATAATGTTCGCCCCCACTACAACTGCATGAAGTATGGTCTGGTTGGAGGGCGACCGCAATGCGAGCTACTTGGCTGCCTGAGAGACGGGCGTCTGCGACACATCGGTCCAATAATTGCTGGGGTTAAAATGACCTGTCTCTCATATTACTTCATTGTTCATTTGCCTTTATTTTAGCTTAAGCCTAAACTATAACACCAAAACATTTATGTATAATACATTTGATATTGTTTATTGTATGACAGTTGTATGTGTGTACCCCACTTTTGCGCATTTACTGATTGTGACTGTTTTGCTTTTCATCACCTACACTGTGCTACGTTCACAGTACAATCGTAATGTCAAGAGCGCATCTCCCTCTCAATTACATCACAAAAGGCCGTTGATGTTTTTCTCACCTGACGACTGCAACGATGATCCTCACCGAGTGCGGAACGGTCACAAGGGATTGCTTTTCTTGATAAAATGTGGAAAACAACAATGTGGCTCCCACCACACTCACACCTGGGTTTATTAATATTAACAGAAAGTGAAGGCAACCAGCGGCCTTTTTATTGCGCACTCTCACACCTTGCAAGCAAGCTTGTCCAAAGCTTAGGTGACTTTTTATGTTGAAAGTTCCACTTTTTTAAATTTCAGAAACAAATACAGTACAGTAAGTTGTTTCCAAAATACTTCTGACACTGCGTAATGTACTTTTGCTGAATAAAAATGCCCACAAAGAATGAATCCTAACACTGGCCATCGGCTCACAGTAGATTGGTACCACCTCAAAAATGACTCTTCGATATTCTTGTAAGCCACCGTAACAATACAAACAGTTTGAAAATGGCTGACAGTGAAATATAGTACTATGTATAGCATGAAATACTGTATAGGATTTCACATTCTGTACTTTTTCACTTAAGGACTGACGTACTACCGAGTATATCCGGATACAAGTGTCTGTGTGTGTACTGAGGTACAGAGTGTCAGTTCTTTTGCCACCTATTCAGAGTTAGGTGTTTAGACAAGATTTTGAACCTTCACCAGGCACAAGTGTTTTGTCTGATCCTAAAGCAGCCTACACGCATCAAACCCTGAGCAGCTTTCGTCTTCTCAGCCTTCTCCCTTGAGGTGATTACTCACCGATAACCCATGACACCCCCATCGTGTTGGGTCGTGCCTCCGCCGCATCTCTCGCCTTCTGCCGCAAGTGTAGCCAGAGAGTAACAATCATCTTTTTCTTTTTTTTTTTTTTCGCACTCTTCCCGAAGTGAAAATGAGATGGCGTATCCCAAAACAGTAATCGCCGTCTTCTGCTTTGGATTATCACACTGTTGGAAAACCTGCATTCCCTTTGGAAGGGCAGCATCTGTTACTGTAATGTCAATAAATATTTACACAGCAGGAAGAGCAGAGCGGATGTAGCCTGTCTGACATAAAGATGAAATGAGTTGGGTATTAAATTGAAAATGAATCCTGAATGAGTGTTTCAAGGTAAAGACCAAACTGTATTTGCTACATTGAAGGTGAGGAGACTGAGGCTTGATGTCACACTTTTTACACTTTTATATATATTCTTGGGATCAATAGATCTCATGTATATCATGTATGAATGTATGTATGAATCATCTATAAACAAAATGAGTATCATATGAAAGACCAAATGCCCAGGAATATATTTTGTATTCAGTCATTTGCATATTTTTTGGCCGTGCAGATTTATAAGCAATCAAATAAACAGTGAGAACATGTTGCTCCACCATCGTGTAAATTGTCTCAAAATGTCAAACTGCATTTAGCAACCAATAGAACACGGGCAAAATTATTGCTGTTCTTGTTCGCTGCGTGAAAGTCAACATTGAAGTCAGCCAAAGAAAATGTTTATCATTGAGCTTGAAATATTCATTGAAATCATGATTGAACAAACGTAAAATACGCAACGTGCACTGGATTAAAATCCTTGGGAACTGCTGGTCATGGCAACCTCAAATGCCCGTTCTACCTTCCGGAAACCGAAAAGTCAAACAGAAAGCATCATGAAACTTAAAACGGTCCTTAAGTGTGGACATAATGGTCGTTCCGACAAGTGGAAAATTTAGAACACACAAACAAAACCTGACAAACTAATTTCCTCACTAGTCAAACTCATCATCCGAATTACACGTCTGGCATACGTAAAATGGTTTGCCAGTGGCGCATTTTTCATTGCTCCATTCTTTGCATATGCCACATGTCAACTCGGCCCAAAATGACTGAAAAATGTTTTCCCAAACTACCACGTTTGCTAATTCTCGCTCTTGTTCAAAGTTGTCTTAAAACACAACATTGACTGAGGTATGTCAAGAAGCCTGAATCTCTCCTCTAACAAGTCAGTGGTAGGATTTTCATCTGGAAGATGCTTTCTAAACATTTTATATTGCTGCTGGCTAGCTTGCACCCTGCTCAGTAACTTGCACGCTTCCTTTCTGCTGTCTCTCGCAGGGTGTTTGGATGCGAACGTAGCATGGCACATGGCAAAGTGCCACTTTACAGTCGACGGTTTCATCGATGGTATTTTGTCATTGCAAATTAGACACACCGCAGAACCTGTTCTTTCCACAAAGGCAAATCCGTCGGTCCATTCGTCCTAAAGTGTACCATACTCATCATCTTTTTTTCTTTTCACCATCTTATTCATCGAAGGATTAGCTTTGAGCTAATGACTGAGCGGGCTGATTCAAAAGGGGGCATTTACCTGTTTCCCCAGCAATGGCCAACATAGGCCAGAATCATCAAATTAAAATTGCTCCTGCAACTGCAGCCCTGAATAGGACATGAGCAGTGAAAAAGCGAGAATATTTTGTTTTATCTGCGAGCCAGATGCAATCATCAAAAGAGCCACTCCTGGCTCGCGAGCCATAGGTTCCCGACCCCTGATCTCAAAGAAGAACATTAGTATTCCACTTTTCAAATGGGACCTCTGGTGGGGATGATAATTGCAACGTGTCAACTTACCCATGTGACAACAAACTCTGGTCTCCTCCTACTTGTTTTTGCAGATTTCATGCTCTCTGACCTCTAT